ATGAAAGTGTCTTTTAGTTCCAACTTATGACGCTGGCCAGGGCTGCGTGATGTTTTTCGGTATATTTTTGATAATATTCAAGATTAGTATTTACACTACTGTTCAAAAAGTTTGGGGTCAAAAAGATTTTTATGTATTTTTTTTTAAATGTATTTTTATGTATTTTACATTTTAAATGTATTTTTAAAAAAGGTATTTTATGCTCACCAAGGCTGCGTTTATTTGATTAAAATTACCGTAAAAACAGCAATATTGTGAAATATTATTACAAGTTAAAATAACTGTTTTCTGTTGTAATGTATTTTAAAACATAATTTATTTGAAATTAATAAAAACTGTATAGACATTTACAAAAAACTAATAAAATTGCCCCAAAAAAATCACAACAAAATGACTAAAACTTAAAATAAGTTTTAAAAGATAAAAATTCATTACAAAATATTTGTATTTATTTTTATCAAAATGTGAAATTGTTCATTAACAAAAGCACTTCCAAAGGCATTCATTTTTTCTTATTTTCTAACTATTAATTCCTATCCCAACACAACGACTCAAATGCCGAGTAAAAAATAATGAAATATAGAAATAAAAGAATCCATAATGATTATACATAAGTATAGAAGTATTCACACAACAGTAACAAAATGTAAAGTATAAATAAATAAAGGGATTACTTCTTGAGTGCCTTCAAAGACATTCATTCAAAATAGTAATAAAAACTAAAATAGTATCGCAAAGCTACTAAAATAACACTAGTAGGTGACAAATTGTCCAGGAAATTAACTAAATATGAATTGGTTCCACTGATAGCAATGTATATTTGGACCGTGTTCAATACTGTCTGCATTGTTTTAACACATGATTCACTAAGGGAATCCAGCAGAAAGCAACGGCAATGCTAAAATAGACACGCTGTCTTGAAGTGCTTCGAGAATTTGCTCCTTTGAGTCAAAAAACATCTATTTATATCTGAGCAGTAACTTTGGCAATCAGCTGGTGGGATGCAATCCACATCCGAATATTTCCATAGTTATGGGCTCCAGTGAAGACGGAGGTCAGGACTTGTGGGGTTGTGTTTGTGTGTTGATATGATGCAATTCAAACGCGGATTAGGCAAACACTTGATGACATGTCGCGTTCCTTGGCAGTGCTAACTGCAGATATCCAGCGTGTTTGACCTTGTCAAAAGAGTTGATCACATAGAGCTCGGAGGCCTGTAACGGGGTCGTTTGTGTGCTTGTTTCCTCACTAAACGTCCCACGCTTCACCAAGACCCTCTGGAAGTTAGAGAATGTCACAGAGACAGCGGCTTTCATGTGTGGAGAGCGTGACTTTGTGTCTAATGAACTGTATTTAGAGCTGCAACCAGCCAGTTTTAGTGAAATATGTGCTACTTTAATATAGACAAAAATCATTTGAATTACTTTCTTTACAATTAAATCCCATTTCCCTCCCCTAATTCTCATTGCAAAAAAATCACCTTTTAACTGTAAAATATTATGACAATGGAAATGATCATTTTGAGACTCAGACATTTACTTTTGTTTACACTACATTTTGCTTATTATAAAAATACTATGGTGGTCGTGATGGTGTTAGCACTTGATAAACCATGAGACTTTGAAGGACAGAAGTTTTTTTATTATTATTACATAAGATTTATGATGATATTACATATTATATCATATTACATGTAAGTTATTTAAATCATATTGCAAAGTACTTTTACATGGACAAAAATACTAAATAGTTTTATTTAAATCTATGATTTAAATCTACAGCTTTAATATTTAGGTGGATTTCATCTAAACATCTCACCTAAAACTTTTTCACATTTAGTTTCTTTCACATTTTCGTTATTAAATTTGACAAATTAATGCAAGCTTTAACTATAGACAAAAAACAACAACAGTAAATACTATTTTTTTTTTTATATTGTAATGCAATAATTTAAATACAATTTAAAAAAATAAGAATTTTGATTTCGACCCTATTTAATTTAAATATTTATATTTAAAATATTTTTTTATTAATTTATTTTGACAATTTTAAATCAAATTCTTATATTTTTATTTTATTTAAATTACTGCATTACAGTATTCAGTTTTTTTGTCTGTAGATAACTTGCATATATTTGGAGAATTTGGAAATGTAAATGTGAAATAAATTGTGTGACGTATAAATATTTCACAATGTAAACATAATAAATAATTATTTATTATTATTTAGTTGTAAATAATTAATGTTATGCACTGGAGTAATAAAAATGAGGGGGACATGCGCATAATTAGCATGAAAATAAAAAAAAATTATATATATAAATATCAAAATTGTTCTTTATTCAAACTAGAAGTTGACTTGACCTTTTTCGGGTTTTGGGCCTAGAAGTACACTCTCAGCTGTGGTCCTCATGTGGTGGATGCAAATCATCCTTATTTCCATCTCGCTCCGGCCCCTATTCATATGCAGAAATAAAATAAAAATCAGCCTGTAATAAAGTGATGCACAACAGTTACAGGAAATGGGTTTATAGGAAGAACCTGTTGTACCCCAGTTGAAGTAAAACAACAATTAATGCTTCATTTTGGGGAGATAGATTTGTGCTGTAAATGCAAGCCGTTCAGATCGCGCTCTCTCATTGGCTTCTCTTGGTCCTGTCCGAGGCGGTTAATGACTCAATGCAGTCAGCGGCAATCTAAATGATCACTGCCAGAACAAAAGTGCATCCAGATTTATCTTTTCGGTCAATTTCCCATTAGTTCTAACATAGGTCTGAAAATAGGGAGGCTTTACTGGGTAAAGCAGGCACACAAACAAATTCATCTTAGACTATCGTAATCCATTAGGTCCGCTCTCTTTCTCTTAGTGGCAGATGTAAATAGCATTTTGTTTTTCAGCCAAATGCAATCTCGTTGAGAAGAACGAATGGTCAGTTCTCTCAAGTGGGGCTGGTCTAGTGAGAAACGATGGTCCTAAATACTCGTTCCAGATTGCCACTACATCCCCTAATTTCCTTAATTACTCACCTGCGCTAGACCAGGACACCAGCTAATTAGTGGTTAAGCCCATCTACAAGCTAATTAATTAAGGACCACAGCGAAGGAACACGCAGTTCACAAAGCAACAAATCTCATAACCGTGCTGAGAAGACCAGTCTGAGTTTGGGTTATGATGGTTGGTTAGTACTGGTTTAGTCTCTGGTTAAGATGGTTAGTCTCAGCCTCAGACTAAATATTCACCCACAGTCCACTAAATCAAATGAAAATGTAATTTTTAAACAGTGTTATGCATGTATTTTATAATACATAAATATTATATCTATACTGTATATATATATATAGAGAGAGATATTTAAATCTATATATTTATATCTAGATTGATTGATTGATTTTTACATCAAGTTAAACTAAATAAAAATGAGAATTGCTGCCTGAAATAAAAAATAGTTTTTATGGTTTAAATTTGTGCTATTACTTTAAATAAAAATATATTTTTTAAATATTATATATATGTGTGTGTATATATATATGTGACCCTGGACCACAAAACCAGTCATAAGGGTCATTTACATTTTTGTTTTTTGAGATTTATACATAATCTGAAAGCTGAATAAATACGCTTTTACAACTATTTGAAAATCTGGAATCTGAGGGTGCAAAAAAAAATCTAAATATTGAGAAAATCGCTTTTAAAGTTGTCCAAATGAAGTTCTTAGCCATGCATATTACTAATCAAATTACGTTTTGATATATTTGCTGTAGGAAATTTACAAAATATCTTAATGGAACATGATCTTTACTTAATATCCTAATGATTTTTTGGCATAAAAGAAAAATCAATAATTTTGACCCATACATTTTGGCTATTGCTACAAATATACCCCAGCGACTTGAGACTGGTTTTGTGCTCCAGGGTCATATACATATATATATATATATAAACAGAGATGAAAAAATATTTACAACAAATACATAAATATTTTCAAATAATTATGATATCAGTTTGAATTCATTCATCATTACAGTAATCATTGTTGATCCCTGTTTTAATATGATGTTCATTACAACTTCCTCTGCCATTTAAATGTATTTAATTGGGGAGTAACTATTATGTATTTCATTCAAATCAGTGTTTATCATTTGCACAGGAGCCGAGCTCTTTGGATTGTTTAACTACCCGGGTCGGCGTGAGGGTCAGCTGAAGTACTACACGGTTAAAGTGCCTCTGCGAGTGCAGCCGCAGGGCGAGGGCATCTGCACTCTGGAGGCCAACTGGCTCGATCACATGACTCAACACTTCAACAACGGAGCTTCACTAGTGGACGGATACTTTCAGCTGGCCAGTGACAACGGTGAGTCAGTGCTGATACTTCTCGAACTCAAACAATCAGAAATGTACACTTCATCACACTAGTGGATTATAAAAATACTATGGTGGTACCATGATTCAGAGATGCTATAGCATTTGATCCCATCACTAAATATACTACATGGTGTTCAGAGCCAAACATTGTATTATGGTTTTCTAAACATATATTAAATAGTGGATTATACAAAAAATTACAAATGTATACATCACTTCCCTAGTAAAAAAAATATATTTAAAATACATTTATTTCATACTAAGTATAGCTACAGATATAACAATTATAATTTAACTTCTTTTGGTGTACTAGTGCACAATGCACATTTCTTAATATTAAGTCTAAAATGTATTGATGAGGATTGTATGATCTTTGAATAATATCGTTCTTTAAATGCAAAATATTTAAAGTGCACCTGAAGTATACTTGCAATAGTTCCACTTTAGCACAATCAAATATACTAAGTATATCTTTAATTGGACTTCAGCACTACTTCTGCACAATTAAAGTGCATTAAGTACAAAATTAGTTATTCCAATTTAGCAGACTTTAAGTAGACCAGTTTAGTATACTTAAAGTACAACTGCAGGGTATTTTATTAAGTACATAAATATGTAAATGTATTTGTAGTATACTTGGCATGAAATAAATACAAGTACATTTATTTTTCATATTACATTTTATTTTTCATTTTTCTAGGGTTAATACATAAAAAAATAATACAATTCATGAAATTCAATTCTGAATACTACATTGTGTCCCAAAACTGTAACAATTGTATTACCATTTTTTGTACAGTGTAATGCATTATTAAAATATATTAAAAGACGGAAAACAGTCAATGAATAAATAAATTCCAAAATGGGATACACAAAAATATATATATATTGACTAAATATATAATTGTAAAAAAAAACAAAAAACGAACGCATTACTAAATAAGAAAAAAATAGTAAAAATTTATAACATAAAATAAAATTCTGAATATTATATGGTGATAGTGTAGAAAAACAATGTCTTATGTTTTTTGGAGAAAAAAAATATTATACAATATTATTATATTATAATTAATATGTAATATTTAAAATAAAATAATATACAATCTAATTATAAACAAACTATAATAGAACATTTCATATCAAACATAATATATATATATATAAACAATTTAAAATAACTACAATATATTTAAAAGTGAAATACACTAAATGAATCAGTAATCTCCAAAATGGGATACATGCATAATACGACCTTGACCAAATAAATACATAAATAAATATCGCATACATAACAGTTTAAAAAATACTACATGGTAAAACTAAAATTTTATTTTTCTATTATATATTTCTATGGCAATACTATTGTAATTTTATAGGGGTTATAAATAAGTGTTATGATATTATTAATATGAATATGTGCTCATCCTATAGGTCGTAAATAATTGAATTAAATGCATCTTCTAATAAATGGATGAGCATTTTTTGGAAAATTGATTAGTTTGATATTATACTAGTGTGCCATATTTTATTTTCTGCCTCATTAATTAATCATGCTATTAAAACAGCTTGTGGGTTTGGCTCACTTGAGTGCACTGAAAGCATTTTCAGTCGAGATCTGCACTGTGGATCTTCCAGCACTGAGGGAAACGCACTGCTGGTTTGAGTTTGGCTTTGTTCTTTGATGGCTAACCCAATATACGCTGTTTTGTGGCTGGGTTATAACATCGGGGACATGGGGAGAGGAGGGTATTTGTCATCATTTAGAGCTTTCTGGGTCTTGAAGTGGTAATGATGTGGCAAGAGAACGTGTGCCGTGGTAGCAATGACGCAAAACCCAAGCTTCTTATTAGTTAATTAATTTTCTTTAATGACTCCCCTGTACAGTCCGTAAACCCCTGCCAAGTTCTGTGCAGTTCTACCGAGGGAAGTCGTCCTGAGGTAATTACTGAGCAAAAGCAGAAATTGATTTGATTCTTATATTTTCTGAGGGAAATAAGAGTGGTATCGGCCCGTGCAAAACTCAATGCCACAAAGCTGTGGGGTTCTGCTGGTTGCATACAGGCAAAAGTCTCCATTCTGACCTCTAATTCCTCATTCAGTGCAAACTGCCTGTTTTATCTCTAACCAGGCAAAAATCAGAAGTCTGAAACAGTAAAAGCGCACATCTATTTAGCAAATCACACGACTTGAGACATTATTCATGTCCTTAAGACAAACGCAGGACAAGCAATCACATCTAATACACTTCTAATACTAACCGTGACTATGAGCAATAATAATAGGCTACCCATGCTTGACTTTGCAAAGGCCACTAATAAATGGATTTAAAAATGTAATACACTAAACGAATAAACAAACAGACAAAAAATATATACACAAAGAAAAAATGACTGTACAAATGACTATATATATAAAAATAAAAAATAAACTATATATAAAAAATAGACTACATATAATAAAAAATGCATACATGAGTTTTTAAAAAAGTAAAAAAAATAAGTGGAAAATATAACCTTACCCAAATAAAAATGTAAAGTAGAGCACAATATATAAAACTATTAAATCGAGCATAAAGAAAATAATATATAAATATTCGAAAAACTTCAAAAACTAAAGTGTAAATTAAAAATGTTGCAGCAGTTAACTGAAATAAATACTTTGAAATGAAATAAAAAAATCAAGTTTAATAGTAATATTACAAAAATAATAAAATAAAAAATATTTGCATAACATAACTAAAATTAAAATGAAAACTAAAAATATAAAAATACCTTACCCAAATAAAAATGTAAAGTAGAGCACAATATATAAAACTATTAAATCGAGCATAAAGAAAATAATATATAAATATTCGATGAAAAACTTCAAAAACTAAAGTGTAAATTAAAAATGTTGCAGCAGTTAACTGAAATAAATACTTTGAAATGAAATAAAAAAAATCAAGTTTAATAGTAATATTACAAAAATAATAAAATAAAAAATATTTGCATAACATAACTAAAATTAAAATGAAAACTAAAAATATAAAAAGGAATTTAAACAAAATATCAAAAAAAAAATACTGTAGTGCATAAATAATACTAAAATAGCAGTTTGCTTCACAAGAGTTTTGCAAATATCTCTAATAAAAAGATTTAAAAATGTAATACATAATCAAGTAGGACACAATAAATAAAACTATTAAATCAGTCTCAAATAAAATTAAATATCAAAATTAGATGAAAATACTACTAAAAGTACTACTAAAACTGAAATAAAAAATAAAGCTAAACAGTAATATTGCAAAAAAAAATTACAAAATCACATAACACATTTACTAAAATTAAAATATTGATAAATACTACAACAGTGCATAAAATGATCAAATAACAGGTTGCATTACAGTGAAATACTTTGAAATGAAATAAAAAAATCAAGTTTAATAGTAATATTACAAAAATAATAAAATAAAAAATATTTGCATAACATAACTAAAATTAAAATGAAAACTAAAAATATAAAAATGAATTTAAACAAAATATCAAAAAAAAAATACTGTAGTGCATAAATAATACTAAAATAGCAGTTTGCTTCACAAGAGTTTTGCAAATATCTCTAATAAAAAGATTTAAAAATGTAATACATAATCAAGTAGGACACAATAAATAAAACTATTAAATCAGTCTCAAATAAAATTAAATATCAAAATTAGATGAAAATACTACTAAAAGTACTACTAAAACTGAAATAAAAAATAAAGCTAAACAGTAATATTGCAAAAAAAATTACAAAATCACATAACACATTTACTAAAATTAAAATATTGATAAATACTACAACAGTGCATAAAATGATCAAATAACAGGTTGCATTACAGTGTTTTTTTTTTTTACAAAGACCACTAATAAAAAGATGTTAAAAATAAATAAATATGTAGAACACAATATATAAAACTATTAAATCGAGCATAAAGAAAATAATATATAAATATTCGAAGGAAAAATGTAATAATATATAAATATTAATTAAAACCTTAAAGTGTAAATTAAAAATGTTGCAGCTGTCACGAATCCGGTCCATGAACTTCCATCTGCTAGCCATCAGAGGTCACCCTTTCCGATTTCATTGACTCTCGCACTACACATTGTTGCACATCAACCCGGACTACATATCCCATCATTCATTGCACTGATTGCACTCAGCACGATTGCACACAGCTGGTAACACTGATTGCACCCAGCTGTTTCATATCACTCCCTCACTATTTAACACTCACTCTGATCCCTTCCCTCTGCCGAGTATTGTTTAGCACTTATCGTCAGATAGTTACACTACAGAGCCCCGTTAGCCTCCTAGCCTAGTTTTGCCTTGCCTTGTCTGTTTTCTCCGGTTTTGATCTTCGCCTGTTTTCCTGGATTTCTCCCTTTAGCCTTGCCCCTGTGACTCTGTCTGCCAATCGTCGAGCCACGCTAGCCCTAGGATTATTCTTGTGTCTTGCCCGCCATATACCTGTTTGCCACTGTTTCGACCCTGCCTGTGTTTCTGACCTCCTCTGCTTTAAATAAAGCTTTGCTTATGGATCCGCACATCTCACGTCTTGTCAGCCACGTAACAGCAGCAGTTAACTGAAATAAATACTTTGAAATGAAATAAAAATAAAGTTGAATAGTAATATTACAAAAATAATAATAAAAAAAAATTTGCATAAAATAATTACTAAAATTTAACAAATTAAAATTGAAAATAAAAAAATTCATTTAAACAAAATATCAAAACAAAAAATATAACTATAATAGTGAATAAATAATACTAAAATAGCAGTTTGCATCACAAGGTTTTTGCAAATACCACTAATAAAAAGATTTTAAAATGTAATCAACTAAAATACAGTTTAAAAAAGTGGAATACACTAACTAACAAAGTAGGACACAATAAATAAAACTATTAAATCAGTCTCAAATAAAATTAAATATCAAAATTAGATGAAAATACTACTAAAACTGAAATAAA